TCAGCCCGTTTTGCTCTCGCTAACGCGGACAATCCCCCGCGGTACGCGCCGCACCGCACCAGCCGGATGTTTAAGGGTGCCTACGGGGTGATCCGTAAAGACGACACCGTGCCTCATTAGCAGCGCCGACGGAGGTGAGAGAAAACGATACATGCTCGCGCGAACGCACACTCGCGCACGCATCTACACGGCAGGAAGGAGACAATGGTAGGCCGAGACGGGGACGGTCCTCCTCGGCTCTCGAAATTTACGATGATCGGAGATTTATGTACCGCTTCAAACCGAACATGCTTCACGCTCGAATTAATTGCATCACGATCCCTTACGACGATCGGGTTCGTCGTTATCTCGAATCCGGTAAGTAGTGGTTCGCTCTTTCGTCGAACCAACCGGAGGAGGCGAGACTAGCGAGGATTCGATCGACGACCGATCAAAACATTCTACTCCGATCTCGTGTCCGATCCATCTTTCGCGAGCCATCTCGGCTCGTTCGATTACGCTCGTAAACGGTAAACAGGAGGTATCGAGAGCGTGATCCGACGTAACGTCGACGAGCGGCGAGGTTACGCGAAACTCACCCAGTATGCCTATCTTTACAGCGTTTACCTGACCGGCTACGAACAAGGTGGACGCGCCATTACTGCTACGGAAGATAAAAGATACGCGCGCGCCACGCCGCGGTCCATATATGTAAATACCTCTGGGGAACTCGCGTACACATCGCCGGGCAGAAACGAGAGGGTTGCCGGTGGGTAGAACGCTGGAAAGGACTGACCGGAGCACGACGAACAGCAGAGGCCGTGCTACGAGAGCCGGAGGGCCCGAGGGTAGAACGAACGAAACGTACGGTCAGTAGCTCGCGTATGTAACATACTATCTTGAATATGCGCATACATCGAGAATTGCCCGCTTATTCCGAGAATTGGTTAGCCGATCGAATGCGCGGGAGCTGCCCGTCTTCTCGTAATTATCTCTTTCCTCTTCTTCCTTCCTTCCTTCCTTCCTTCCTTCTTTCCTTCCTTCCTTCCTTCCTTCCTTCGTCTCTATTCTTATTTTTTCCAATCTTGTAGCTTTTACCTGCGTCTATCTTAGTCCGTGTCGTGTCTACCCTTTAATTATCTTCTTTCCGTTCCGAGTGAGCGAACGGCGAATTTCGGCAACAGAAACGATTATTGATAAATCGTCTCGTTTACTCGAAGATACGGAACACAGTCTAAATTCGACGGCGTCGACGATCGACGCGGTATGCTTCTGGCCTCCGTTTTCCACGAAAACGAGGTCGGAGAAAGTCCTAATCAAGGTAACCCGACAGAAGTTTTAACTGCTCGTGGTCGGAAGATGACGCGCCGTTTCAGGTAGGTTACCGAGAAGTCGTCGGGATAGGAAACTGGACCGCGTTCGAGCAGACTTTCGCTTCCGGAAAGTTGCAAGATAGACTGGCCGTCGAATTTACGAGTGAATCGAGATCGGTTAATCTCCGACGAATACGCCGACTATCGAAATAACCGGCACGGTGCAGCTCTTTCCGGCTTTAGATCGAATTTCCAGATCTTGGTCGCGATCGAAATTGCACCGCGAAAATTCGAACGTTTCGTCGTCGAAACGTTATCCACGGAGCGCAGGGAAGGTCGCGAGGGGAAGTCGAAACGAAACGATGGGAACGGAGCCTAATCCCTCGAAATGGACGGAATCGCGATATTAAGCGAAACCCTTGTCGTTTCGGATCGACGCCGAGACTTTTGACCGACCCATTCGCCTCGAAAACTTCCGTGGTTCGACGTCGAATAGGTAGCGTTACGGCGGATAATGCGTGTAAGAGACGGGTGGCACGAGTAGCAAGTGTGGCGGGGATCGGGAGGAAGGTGAAACGGTACAGGAGAGAGCGAAAAAGGGACGAGGAAATCGAGCCGAGCGTACGAGCGAGCATATGTGTTAACGCTTGCTTTATAGCGATCGCTCCGCGCTCGGGCAATGGTTTAATACACTCTCGACGCGCGAGAGAACGGTCCTCGTCCTCGCGTTGTCGTGCCGCATTCGTCTTCGAGCGTATTCGTTGCGAAGAAGAAACGCGCCGATACGACGCGATTTCCTCAGAGTTCGAGCGGCCCTATCGACACGGAAACCCATCGATGCGGGAAAATGTTAACTCTAGCGTGCCTACTTACGCGTACCGTAACGCAAACTCGTTAAGTACCGGAATGAGCCGCGAGCTCGCTACGAGACGTTAACGCGAATCCAACCTCCTTTTCCGACCACCCTGCTCTCTTGCTCCTCGTACGCACCGCGTACCGATGCTAGTTTTCCGTTTCGTCTCGGACACTCGCTGCGAACCGGCTCCTCCCATTGGTTTCCTCACCTCCTCTACCGGACACGGTCCTTTATTTCATAGTTATGCAGCGAGGACACTTTTACTACGACCGCGCGGACGTTTCGTGGTTTCGGTCCGCGACACTAGCTTTTTATCTCCGAACGGTCGAGCTTTCGGCCGGAACCAACCGGGTCTCGTGGCAAATCTCGTGGCAAAACGGTCTCTCCGTTGGAAGATAGAGAACGACCACGCGTAAACGTCGTCGACGAATGCGGTTCTTCTTACCGTTGCTGCGCGTTCACGCACTCGCGGAGGTAACTCGGCCAAAGATAAATAATAGGCCAGTGAAAGGCAGAAAAGACGGCAAAGCTACGAGCACGAAGGCAAGAAAATATTCGTAGCCGGAGTCGGGGGCGGCCACCGCTACTTCGGCGTTACCGATCTACCGTCGATGTCGCATAATTATAGCTAACCGGATACCTCGTGATAAACGAGATCCTTTTCTTGTCGATTATGGCTATACGGGAAATTTTCCGCGCAGAAGCTGTTGTCGACGTAGCGCAACGTTCTCCGCACCCACGACGCGACGCGCGAAATATCGAGAGGTCCCGTACACGTACAAAGTGCTCGAGCAATTACTTTTACGCGGCAGTTTCAGCCGATCGTTTAAAATTATTAATCGGCCGATAAGTTTGCTCGAAAGTTATCGCTAGGGACGCTACGGAGAATAAGAATCACTTACTTGGTGTAAAAGGCGTCGTTGCATTCGGAACAGACGAAGCTGCGTTTGCGAGCCGATTCGTTCGGCCAACCGGACGACGTAGGCCCTGTGCACTCTTTCTGATGGCTGCTCAAATCCGCTCGTCTCGAGAAGGACGCGTGGCATTTCGCGCACGGAAACGGCCGCTCTCCGGTATGACTTCGTATGTGATTTCGCAAGGACACTTTGGCGAACGTTTTGTTGCACACGGGACAGGAATATTTCGGTAACGATTTGCTAGAGTTCGAGCTGCCCTGTTCGTTCTGCACCGTTCCGGCGTGGAGGGCTTCGTGAAAGATAAATTCCGCCCGAGAATCGGTGGAGAAGCTACAGCTGCCGCATTTCCATTCGTCTTCGACGACTGCCGTTTTCGCCTCGTTCAATTTCTTATCGTCGCGACACTTGTTCTCCCTCGTGTGCCTCGTCACGTCTTGCGACAAGGCAAAAAGTGTACCGCATTTAGGACATCTGCGCGGGAAAAACATCGATTACCTTTTCCTCGAGATTCGGAGCTATCGTTCGTCTTACCTGTGGCAAAGCTCGGGATGATTTTCCAATAGATGCGTCTTGTGTTCCGACAGATTCGACTGCTTCTCCGCGCAATGGGGACACTCTCGAATCGTGCTGCACGACGAATCTCGATTACGTTTGCGGGCCTTTACGATTTCCTTGTGTCTGGAGGTTCTTCGATGCAACACGGCCTCTTGCGCCGTAACGAAATTCATCGAGCAAAACGAGCAAAAGTACGGAGCCGACTCCGCGTTTTCCTCTTTCTCCTTTTGCTCGTCGTCTTTCGTCGCGTGACGAGTCAAACGATGACGTTGAAGCGCCACCAAAGATCGAACTATTCGCGGACACAGCTCGCACTTGATCCGTTGCTGGTACTCGTCGGTCGCGGTGAAACTCTGTACGTGACCGGTTTCCTCTACGTGCAACCGAAGCTGCAAATTGTATCGAAATCTGCGATCGCAACTGCCGCAGGGTAGCGCTCGTTGACGACCGACCACCACCGGCACCGAACCGTTCATCATCGAAACGACGTCGCGATGACTCGTGCTCAGCAAATGAGATTCCATGGACTCGTTATCTTCGCACCAAAAATCGCACGGTGTGCATTTGTAGCTGCCGCCGATCTGCGAACAACGATCAACCAGCTATCGCGAGAAACCGATCCAGCTTGCAACGGCATAGAAAAGAAAAGAATACCTGTTCGAGCGTGTTCGCGTGAAGCTCGGATCGCCAGTGACGAAGAAACGTCGCCTCCGTGTTGCAGTAAAACCGACAAGACGAACATTGAAAGGGACACTGCCGAACCACGTTTGCCATATTTTCCAGTAAAAACCGACGCGCCCGTGGCCCACGAGGATTTACGCCCGCGACGCGGCAGTGATAATGAGAGAGCAAATGCTTGCCCATTTGTACCCTTCTGACTCGAGCGTGGCATGTCTCGCAACAAACGATCTCTTTCTCCCGTCTTCGCAAACTTTTCTTCGCCTCTTGCGGCTCCGGTGGTATCCCTCGGATTTTCTGTCGATCAAATACGATTCCGCGTCAGCTTTCGATCGAATTCGAGCTACCAATCCTACGAGATTAGCGCGACTGCTCGATCGAAAAAAGCAAATCTGCCGAGATCGAGCGATTTAACGTTAAACGTTACCGCTAGCGTTACCGTTCCTCTGCTAAGTACCGGTATCAGGAAAGCTATTAAGATCGAGGAAACAGCGAAATTAAGGCAAAATTAACGAGCGTCCCGATCGTTACTTGATTACGAGCCGACGTCTTTTTTGCAACGTGCAGGCTCCCGGTACGAGGCAGACAAAGAACCCCATCGATTTCTCGGATGCTCCTTCTAGCGTGCAAATCAGAGAGAAGATGCCTGTTGTAGACCAATCGAGAGGCAAGTTTCCTGCCGCAAGGACTACACCAATATCCTGACTCGATATCCGTCCGTGCACCCGGTACCCATTTCCCTCGCGTGTGTCCCGGCGGTGGTTGTCCGGCGTTGTCCTTACCCTGGTACTCTTCGAGTTTCTGCGAAACGGTTCGATTTTGATAAACGATCCGCTAAAGCGATACGATACGATACGCGTACCTGCGAACTATCCGTGGGTCGCCATTTTCCACCGGTATACGTGGGCGGCGGATGCTCTTGCTGCTCGTCCTCGGCTTCCGGATCGTCGTCCTGAAGTTGAGACATATTTTGAGGGAGATCCTCCAATCCCGGTTTCCACTTGCCGCCGGTATGACCGTGCGGTGGACGTTCTCGATCCTCTCCGTCCTCGGACTCGGAATAAGAGTCGTCCTCTCCCAAATCTTCCTCCAATATATCGTCCTCCGAGTCCTCCTCCTGTTGATATTCGAACTCGTATCTAGCCAGATCTTTGTTCTCGTTGTTGGCTACCAGCTCGGCCAATATCGTGTCTTCCAGCCACGTTTGATGAACTTGTTCCATTCTTTGCGTATCCTCTTGCCGTTTTCTTTCCGTCTGCTTCGACTCGGCGTGAGGAGACGTCATCAGGGTTTCCAAAGAATTGTCCGTCTCGTGCTTCGCCGAGAAGCCGGCGTTCTCGATACTGCCGGAAACGTGACCCATCGATTGATTTAATTTCGTTCGATTTCCCGCGACCGTCGGCTTACCGCC